TATATCGTTTAGTAAAAATTCGCACAAAAAAAATGTAGAATTTTAAAATGGAAATAAAATATTGAGAGCACCAAAAATGATTAAAAACAAAAACTTGCAAAAACGGGCTATAATGTTAATTACAAAAAAATTTCTACCACAATTAGTTATGTCCTTAATAAAAATTAAAATTGTTAAAAAAAGTATAAAGTATAACTTTAAATTAGCGGAACTCTGCCTTTAAAAAAAAATTTTTAATTGTTTAACTAAAAAAAGAAAATGACAAAAAAAAAGCGTAACCACAATTAACGGGGCTAAGTCTTTCTTAAAAAAATTGAATTAATAAAAAACTTAAAAAAAAAAGGAAATAAGAATTTAGTTATTGCTGGCCATAATTGGAGATTTATTAAAATTAGCTGTTTATATTTCAAGAATGATTTAGTCGGCTGCAAAACAGAGCTTATTGGCCCTGATAGTGCAAGTTGAAAATCAATATCAATAAAAAGGAAATCAGCCCATTCATCGCCGTCCAATTGCAACAGCTGAAAAATAGCTGGTCGGCCACGTAGGTCGTTGGCGAGCATCGCTCTTTGGTGCTGCAAGGTGTCACTTGACGCGCATTCATTTGCGATCGCCGTCATCAATAATGCAAGTGATTTCGTCGTAAATTTCCCTGCCTCCTTTGCTCGTTTTTTTTTTGTCCTCGGGTAGGGCGTTTGAGTGACAGACAGACACAGGCCTGCATCTCGTCGCTTTCGCAATCTGTCGAGATCAAGCTGCGAAAGGAGCGAGTGTTTTTCATCCCTCCCGAGAGGCGCGTCTTCAATTTGCTATTATCAGACGAGGCATCGCGGGGGGTGTTATGTACATCGAGCGCTCGCACACTCACACACGCTGCGTCTGCTGCGTCTCACACCCTCGACCCGTCGTCTCCTTTTCCGGCAAGCGCTGGCAAATTTAGTTCAATTTGTAACGGAGACGCCTCCCTCCCTTCCTCATTTCATTTCTTCTATTTGAGACAAAAGAAATTTTCACACTTGCTTTTTTGTATACCTCGATTTTTTTTTAAATTTGATAAATTTTCTTCTTTATATTACTAGTTTGAAAAAATAATAGAAGCTCAAAAGAATTGACACGGTTTAAAACATTTTCTAAAAGCTCTTCAGTTTTTTTTGCAACTTTTATCGTTCTGAGAATTTCAAACAACCGAAAGACACATCCATTGCGAGTGCCATAATCTAATTCCACACCCTTCCGATTTACTGCCGCTCTTTCTGTAGCAGACGTGAGCTTTTCCTTTCCAAAGCTCAATTCCGTCCGACTGCTTTTCTACTTTGCTTCAATAGAAGACGGCGTGCGAGTGTGTGTATTTGGTGCAATCAATCATCACTAAGTAGGTTCAAAGTGTACGTGCCTCAAAGGATAATCGTTTTCCACGAATTTCCTATCAACACTTAAAATAAGACTTTTCCTCGTTCTGCTGATGACATGCAAATATATATAAAAGCTACGTATTTATAAATAACGAGTTAATTAAAAATAAAGTTATTTGGAACTCTTGGAACTGAAAACTATTTCCAGCTTCTTTTCACAGGAACGACTCCCTTTGAGGCCGAGTTTGCGTCGCGATAAGTGAAATGTGGACTTGTGGGTTGAGTTAATGAAGCTAAATGGAACTGATGTGGTGCAACACTAGTTCTAATGTCGCGATTCCCACCGGATTGATTAATTAAATAATTGCGCCTGGCGTGACTGTTGACCTCGCACCACCCTGTGGCACCATTGACGTTGCTGGCGGCGGCGGCGGCGGCGACTGGAAAATTACAAAAATGAGGACGGCGTCGTAATTTCCACTTTTAATTCAGGTGGTGCCACACACGACTCTGCTCTCCCGCGAAAGTAATTACAACACACAATACAAACGTGCCTCTGCTTTGCATTTCAACTGCTGCGCATTTCTGATTCGAATGATGTAAGTGCGCTCGTTATGCAAGCAGCAGTCTCGCACGTGGCGCATGCAATCAAACATCGCGCCAGACACCGCAGAGGGAGACACAAACACGTGGGTGGCCTCGTTACTTTAGTTATCGTGACGAACGAGTTGGACGTGAACGTTATTTTATCGCGTGAACTGACGCAAATTATGAATTCCATTCAAACAACGAAGGACGTGCGATTTATTTAACCGCAGGGAATGCAAATCCATTTTTAATAAAGATAATATATGCTTGGGTGTCCGTAAGGGATTTATTTTTAAATCCCTTTCAACGGATTTAGCGGACTGAATTAAAAGTTCCAAAGTGAGTTTAACGTTCTCCCCTGCTCTCCACCGTTCACCTAATTACTTAATCCCCACCCGCACAGTGAATTTCCGTCGCGGAATTTCGAAAAAGGAAATCCGGCGTCTCTTTTATCCTGCTGCTTTTTGAGGAGTTAGGCAACGTGCCTGGCGAGGGAGTCGAGCCCGTTGCATAAGTCTTACAAAACCAGGCGCTTTTGAAAAAGCTTCATTGCTTTTTTTATTCAAATTTTATGAAAAAAGGAAACTTTTTCCATTTGTCGCAAAATATACGTTTACAAACTCTTCAATTCTGGGAAATTTAATCAAGCTCAGTGAAAGTATCACAATGCCTTTTAGCTGGAGTTTCATTTCAACCGTTTCGTTTGCCTCAAAAAGACAGCAGGTATAATTTGAATCCAGGAGCAGGAAATTCGCATTCGTGACGCACATCGTTAAAGAATGCGAAATAAAGGCCTGGAGTTCATAATAGAAAGTGAGGTGAAAGGCAATGTTTTGCTCTAGCGAAATAAGAACATTGAATCCTGGCTATTAATTCATTAGTGGACCTGAGTGCTGAGTGCTGGGGCAGGTCTGCACCGACTTTCCGTGTCTGCTGATTAGCCGGCGAAGAGGAAGTTCTCTAATTAATTCTGAAACAACATGCAACCCGCCCAGCGGCGGCACAGACTGTACCTCAACACTAAACACCCCCCATTTGTTTGCTACACCAGCTTGGGAGAAGGAAAATAGAGCCGTCGGTTTGGAATATTTGTTTCAATTTTGCTGTAGGCTCTGTTAAGCAAATTCCGTATAAACTTTGAGCAGAATTATGCAATGAGTTTGATTTTGAAATTCAGGTGTAACTGAGGAGAAACTGTTGCGCTTACCCAAGGGGTGGAGCAACATTTGCACGGGAGAAATCAACATGATGCAAACTTTTTCCTGCTATTCCTATTGAGCAGATTTTCACAATGTTATTCTATTGTGAAATTACAATTCTCTAAAGCCGACCTCACCCATTCTGAATTGCACCAGTCGAATAAAAAGTGCACCTGCTGCCATCAGATTGCGCTCGAGAAATGCCAGTTCTTTAATTGAGATAGCAAAAATTATTAATAAAAAAGCGTAATGGTCTCCGCATGCTTTTCTGCCAAGAAAAGATTTTTCATCAAACGCGCAGTAGATTTAACGTCATTTCTCGCATTGAAGTGTTATTGAGGGCAATATTTTATTGACGATCTTTCCTCGTTCAATAGAAAATCGCCTTTACAATACAATAATTGTGGTGTGGTGAGTTCCAATAACGAAGTGAAGTTCAGTTAAAAGAAGAGAGGATTGCAGTAGAACTCTGTGCTTGATTCAGCTATTTTTGGAACTGAAATTAAAAATAATAATAATAATTATTGTTTTTGATTTTATTATTAATAATAAAATCTAAAATACTTTTTATTTGAAATTTTATATCCTAATTATAAGCGTACGAAAAATCGCAAAAAGGATTTCCTGCTGAAATCTTTTTAATTCATTTTTCCCGTTTAAGTGCAAAAGTATTGCCTGAATGAAAAAATTTAGCAATCAAACTCATCCCAATCGGTTTTGTGCACATAGTTGGCTGTAAATGTGCGCTTTTCGGGGGAATTATCGAGTTTGGAAGTCGTAAATTTCAATTTCGTTTTCACATCGATTTATCTCACTTTGAGTGGGAGACAGAATTGCCGAGAGGGCTGTCCAGAGCCCGAGCCTCTTCATCGTTGGTGACAGACGAGTTTTTATCAAATTACGAACCAAATCTATCACACACTGTCATAGCAAGAGACTTGCCTGGTTTCTACTCACAGAGACATCTTGAAGCCACAAGCAAAATAAACAGTGGTATAGAAAAAAATTGCTATTTGAAATTTTTTTTCTATATTGGCCAATATAAATAAATAATGTATATATATATTTTTTTTTTGTTAAATTTACGAATTAGATGGAAATGATGCTACAAATTATGTGATGTTTGCAAGTCTTTTTTTTAGTAAATAAATTATATTATGAGAAATTATATACAGCGTTTAATTGAAGGGCTCTTTGGAAAAAAATGTAATTTAAAAACCAAATTCCGTGATCATGCACCATCATCGAATATATAAAAAGCTCTCCTGTCCCCTCTGTTTTGGCCCTCTCCTATCTGCAAGCTCGTTTACGTCACATCCTGTGTCTATCAACGCACGCGAGCTGTTCATTAAAAAAGAAAAGTCGTGGAGAAAAAGTCATGCCTGTCACTGGCGTCCTTAAAATGACACAAGATTTCATCGCTGGCGATGGCGCGCTTAATGATCGCAAAACACTCCTTCATCATGGCACAGCGCCATTGTTATTGTTTAAGTGATGCGAAAAATTTGGCACAAACACGCCCGCTGATTCTGATCAAAACGGATTAGGCTTCGGATGCCGGAAAATTTAATAAAGGTCTTAAATTTCGTGCAGTGATTTATAATGGTAAGCTTAGATTTAATGCAAATTTAAATTAATGAGGAGATTTTTATTTTGTTCCATACCCTGGCTTGGTTAAATAGTGGAGGCGTAAATTGATCCTTTCTTAATTAAAATTATGGGCTCCAAAATGCTTTCTCGGATATCTGTCTAGCAGGAAAAATCAGATTTCCCCCAGCTTACTTTCGGCCATATTTAATCCAATTTCTATGCATAATTGGATTTCCTTTATCTAATTGGGGCGCTATCTAAAGGCACTCACCTCAGCCGAAGCGGCTCGTCTTTCAAGTGAATATTAGAGTCTGCAACAAAGAAAAGAGAAATATTTATTAATTTTCATAAATTTCTTTATGGCTGGGAATGAAATATCCTAGGAGGCACCAAAAAAGATAAATTATTTATCCGAGACTTTCCTGTTCCTTACTATTGCTGGTGTGAAAAAGATTGCTTGCTTTGATGTTTCGTCTTTGTGAAAATTTTACGTGAAACTGATATTTTAAGCACAAAGCGAAGCCCGAGCAAAATTGTCTGAGCTACAAGAAAATTTAATTCCGCACTAGCTCCTCCAAAGGAAAAATCATTTACTTTTTGCACCTTTTTCCTGGTGCAAGGAAGATCTTATTTCTGTTAAAAGTTTCCCCATCTACAATCCACGGCGCGGTTTTTATTTTGTTCAACTGAGTGAAAGAAGTATTATGTGTGGCTTCGAATTCAATGCACTTATCTTTTATTGCCGTAGCAACAGCGTACTGTTTGTCCATTAGTGCGCTCTGCACTTCTGTTAATTCAGTTTGCCAGCCTTATTTTTCTTGATTCTGCTATTGAAGTAGATGTGAACCGATGGAAATATTGCGTTTGTATAATAAATGGAGGTTTAGAAAAAAATGCTTTTGATTAAACCAACAAAAGTAAAAATATAATTTTCAAAAATTGAGAAAAATTTTGGCTGAATATTTATGTATTTGCTTGCAAAATTTTGATCAAAGTAAAAATTTGGAAATAAAAAAACCTGTGGTACAAAAACATGGATAGAAGAAAATAAATTTGAAGTTGACCCCTCACTCCAAAAACAAAGTGTTAATGAGCAGAAAAGGCATTTTGGGTAGTTAATTCATTTATTTTTATTGTTCTATGCTAAAATAACGCTAAGAGGACATTAACTTTGGTATTGGTGTCAATTTTAAAACAAAGATCTAGTACTATGTTAATATATTCTAATTTTAATAATAATAAATGATTATTTAAAATGATTATTTATAATAGAATATGGAGAAAATTGTACATCGATACAAATCAAACATATTTGTATCTAGCTTCTTACTTCTTCTGCTGATCAATACAGCAATAATTATGATTGTTGAATCAAGTGAACTATTATTTTCATGCACGAGTAGTCTCTCTTGTGAATCAACTCAATTTAATAATAGAAACACGCCCTGCACAACTCGCAATGCAGATTATTTCTTCCTCTCTAATGAACCAGAAATTCTACTGCTTCATAAAATAAAATGTGTTTGGCCAGCAGCTATATCGTCGTCATCCATCATTTAAATTTATTGGTACGCTCAAGAACGATGGCACAGATTGAATTGAACCGTTTCTGCTTTCTGTCTGTGCCGTAAAATTAAACGAGCCCTTATTTGCTTGATCTGATTTGCCTGCCTGCCGATGACGCTCAAAACAATTAACAACGGGTAGGGCGAATTAGCTGCTACGGTCGAATCTGTGTCTCTGTCATGGAGTGCGCAGGTTTTGTCTGATTCTATTGCGAGAGCGCAATATTTGAGAATAGCTGTGGGCTGAATTGGATTATCACATTATTTGTTTGCAAATTTTGTCATCGCTTGGAGCTTCACGCCAAAGTTTGTATTTGCTGGCAGATGTTGGAATATAAATCGTCGGCTACGCGGCCAAATGGCCGATCTGGTAATTACCCCTGTGGGGAAAATGGCTAGTAGCCACTTTCCCCGTTGGGGAAAATGGCAGATGAGCATTTCCGGACAAATTTTTTTTATTGTTCCAATGCATTCAGTGTAAAAATCTGCGTCAGAAATAACCATAAAAGTATCAACTTTCTCGGTAGATGTCTCATTATCGCGAGTTCAGGGAGCAAAAGTAAGGCAGTGCCACGCCCCCCTACAGGCAAGCAGGCAGCATTCCCGCTTGCTGAATAATGCCAAAATTGTTTTAAATGCAATAAATGTTAAAAATAATGAAAATATCGAAAATGTAAAAAATAAAAAAATAAAATTTTAATAAATTTAATAAAATACCTAACATTAAGTAAGAAGTAAAATATCAGAATAAGCTGTAGTTTCGTCAATATTGTATTCCAAAGTGACAGCTTTTTCATGCATTTTGCGTGATAATGCAAATAATTCTTTAAAATTGATATAATTTTAAAATTAAATAAATAGTAAAATATAGATTTATTTATTAAAATATTTGACATGCAACCAGAAGCTTTATGTTGTATACGAGCTAGATTTTACTTTACTAATTTATTGCAATTTATAGTAAATATCAGAAAAACTATTCATGAGATTATAACTAGAAGTGACGCCGGGTCATGTGAAATAAAATAAATGCTTTTAATGCCAAAATTGTTTACTATTGTGCAAATAAAAGAATAAAATTTAAATTAATTTAAATAAAATAAAATAATAAAAATTTTATAAAAAAAGATGAATTAAAATAAAATTATATTATAAAATATTATTTTTAAGTTAAATTGAACAAAGAAAAGCAAGAAATAATCGCATAAGTGGTTTAATTTCGATTGTATTGCACGTTTTCCTCTTTCAGTGTGGAGTTACTTCCCTTTAAATTTCTTACAACAGTTGTATATTAAGGTTTAAAAGAAAATTAAGTCTACCAAATTATCTGCAATAACATGCTGAACTTTGGTTCAAATTTTGAAATCTGAACATTGAAAATTGGAGCAGATAATCAGTTTTTTGCTTCTCCTGTAAAATTTAAAAAAAGGCTCATCTGCCATTTTCCCCAACGGGGAAAGTGGCTACTAGCCATTTTCCCCACAGGGGTATTTACCAGATCGGCCATTTGGCCGCGTAGCCGACGAAATTGTAATGTGTTTATTTTTGTCTGTTTATTTTAATTGAAAACACACATCGGCGAAATAAATTTGTTTAAGAAAATATTAGAACGATTGATATAATTTATTTTTAGTAATTAAAAAAAAGAGAGGAAAATCTAAATAAATTTCTTGAATGAAATATTGAAAATCCTTTGATAAATAGCGTGAAAAAGTGGGCCTTTTGTACCAGCATTAACGTCAAATGGCTTTGAAGGTGTCACGCACACCCACGTTTTTCCTCATTGCGATATTGGAATGGCATGTACGTAATTATATCGCAGGCTGACAATGAGTAATGTGCGTGCCATTCCTTTGAGCCGCGACCAGCTTTGTTGAGATGAAACTGCTTTTGACCAAAAAGGTGAAAGGTTAAAAGAATTTTTTAATTAAAGGATATCCCTCTATTTCAAATAAGCAGAGAGGTGTAATATTGAAATCCTTAATTTCATCAGATGTAAAAGTTGGAATTTAAACTGCACTGGCGACAAGTTAGATTGTAATAAATAAAAAAGCCATTTAACTAAATCATAAAAAAATATTTCTGTGGTGATACTAAACTTTTGCAAATTGTACACAGAAATACCAATGTAATTGTAAGGAACATTATAAAAATAATTGCTTAGTGATTGAAAAAAATTCTTGTCTTGAATATTATTAGCATTGCTGATATTACAAAGCCAACATAATTTATTATTGATTGAGGATTTTCTGTGTTCCACCTTCATTGTTCATTGTCATTGAGGCGGCTGTCTCCAGGGGAATTATTTGATGAAAAATAAATGCACCTTCTGCTGCAGCAGAATTGCGAAATACGCCCGTAATTGTTCGCAAAAGCGCTCGGTCGAGGCATAAAAAGAACGGTGGCTTTTTTCATTTTATTGCGCGGCGGCACTTAGCTTTTGGCTGAAGAGCTCAAAATGCGCACCGACGCTGCTGCCTTCTGAAAGCCGCCGCACCACCGCTGCTAATAACAATTAGAGCTGTTTTTAACGTCGCAATACACGTGGACTCCTTAAGCTGCATTTTTATATAACTGCTGCCGGAGCATTATTGTGCCACGCTTAAGGATAACCATGCATAATTAAATTCCTGCGTACACTATGTACTGGATACCCTTTAATTCGACGAACAAATGCATCGGAGGCTGTTGCTTAACGACAACCTCAATTTTACAGCAGCTGTAATTAGACACGTGTGCTGACGGTGCTTGTGATATGTGGAAAAAAAATGAAAAACAGGGTGTTCAATTATGTATAATGTTAAATTTCGCACGAAAAGTAAAGACACCAGTTTCCTTAAGAGGATAATTGAATTTGTCACAACGGATAATAATAGTAATTATTTGTCCTTAATTAAGAGTAAATAAAATTCATAAATATATTAAATTCAATAAATTCTCATTTTACAAAAGCATTGCCAGCAAATCAAAGGACAAAATAGACTTCTTGGCTATCCAGCAATATTAAACACAAGTTGCTTAAAAGAAGTGACTATTCTTTTTGAAAAATTAATTGTAAAAAGAAACTTTAATGTAGTAAAGAAATTATTTTTGTAAATTTTATAATAATGGTAATGGCATTAAAAATTGACGTATTTGTATTAGCATTTAGTAAGTGCTTAAAATTTTTGTCAACAATTATAAAACAAATATTTTTTGTAATTTGTTATTATCTAAATATTATTTTAGTAAACAAAAAATTCAAATTCAAATAAAAAAATGTGATTAAACAAAATTAATCTCACTCCCTCTATCACAAACTGCTTCGCGTTAAACATTCTTTCTCGAGTTGGGTACTTTTCAGAATTCAATTCAAGCCATTCACAGGTTCCTCGCGCGAAGAAAAATCGCCCAATCCACCTTAAGTACCGCCAATTTGAGCTCATAAAAGAGAAAGACCGCAATTTCGCCGCATTCTCCTTCCCAATAAAGCGACGTATTGCAATCAGGAGAGGACAACAAAAGAGCATTTCAATAAAAAGCAAGTTGGCGAGAGAGTGTGAATTGCGCACGCACGCCCGTAGCACGAAACTGACAACAATGAACACAACTCTGTGTTTGCGCGTTCCTGGTAACGAGGAGAGCAAGAGAAAGAAAACATTTTGTAAGCAAATTGACCATATTTGTGCTCCACTTGTCGCTCGGGCCGCGTTTTCCGGCTGAAAAGCGGCGGAAAACATCTTTCTCTCTTCCTTTCTTTCGTCAAC